GAGGAAGATTGAGCTGCCTTAGTATTATAAATATTGTAAATCATTGTGTCACACGCACAGTAAATATGGCATAATAATATGAAATATACCTTTATGTATAGATTTGAAGAACATCAGCTCACATCCCCGTCTGAATCTATTGTTATATTTGATTTCTTTAAGCGAGAATAATTTCAAATGTTATTCAGGTCCAGAACCGGAAGCCATTTTTAGCTACAGCGAGAAAATTTCACCGTGTGTCAAACTCCGAAATGAAATTTTGAAATATCTAAATCCAGACAAGCAACGCTTCATCCTAAATATAATTAATATTCTTAAAAATATTTATAAAATTTATTAAAAATGAGTTCTAGGTGCGTGTAGGTGCGTGTAGCACAGTACATACGAAATCAATGAAGTTTCGTCTAGCTGTAAGCTAGAGACTCGAGTAAGATAAAATCAAAAATTATTTAGACAATACTAATATTAAACGAGCATTAACTAAAGAGGAAGCAGATCTCTGTGAAGGAGAGCTTACTTATGATGAAGCAAAAAATTCTATTTTTAGCATGAAGCTTAATAAATCTCCAGGGCAAGATGGATTAACTGTTGAATTCTATCAAACATTTTGGCCATTAATTGGTAAAATGGTAACTGATGTTTTAAATTATGGTTACAGTAAAGGACAATTAATTTTCTCTCAGAGATTAGGCATTATAAAGTTGTTACATAAGAAAAATGATAACCAAATATTAAGTAACTGGAGACCCTTAACCATGCTTAATGTAGATTACAAATTATGTGCCCACATTTTAGCTCAGAGACTTCATAAAATATTACCACTTATTATAAATCAAGATCAACAGGGCTATATTAAAGGAAGATTTATTGGATATAAGGCTAATAAATGACGTAATCAATTATGCTAATAAATATAGAAAAACATTAGATTCTGCTATTATTTTTGCAGATTTTTCAAAATGTTTTGATTGTTTGGAAATTGACTTCACTCTAGAAGCTTTAAAGAAATTTAATTTTGGCACTAGTTTTATCCAGTGGATTAAAACCTTGTATAATGGAATACAAAGCTGTGTAGCTAATAATGGTTACTTATCACCATATTTTGATGTATCTCGGGGCTTACTCGAGTCTCTAGCTTACAGCTAGACGAAACTTCATTGATTTCGTATGTACTGTGCTACACGCACCTACACGCACCTAGAACTCAAAATTTTATAAATATTTTTAAGAATATTAATCATATTTAGGATGAAGCGTTGCTTGTCTGGATTTAGATATTTCAAAATTTCATTTCGGAGTTTGACACATGGTGAAATTTTCTCGCTGTAGCTAAAAATGGCTTCCGGTTCTGGACGTGAATAACATTTGAAATTATTCTCGCTTAAAGAAATCAAATATAACAATAGATTCAGACGGGGATGTGAGCTGATGTTCTTCAAATCTATACATAAAGGTATATTTCATATTATTATGCCATATTTACTGTGCGTGTGACACAATGATTTACAATATTTATAATACTAAGGCAGCTCAATCTTCCTCCTCAAAGCCGGAATATAGAGAAGGCTTTGGACCGAAGTAACTCGGGGCATTCGGCAGGGATGTCCCATTTCTGCTTTGATTTATCTCATTGCAGCAGAAACAATGGCAATCAAAAGTATTAGAAATAATTCTAGAATCAAAGGTATTAAAGTAAGAAACAAAGAAGTCAAAATATGTCAACTTGCAGATGACACCACTCTCTTTGTTCATGGAAAAAACTCTATTAATCATAGCTATTAAAGAAATACAGCGTTTCGGAACTGTTTCTGGTTTAGAGCTTAACTTAGAAAAAACAGAAGGTATAAAACTTGGTAACTTTTAAAATGATAATAATACTACTTTTTGTAATATTTCCTGGAAACAGGAAGTAAAATCATTAGGTGTCTACTTTGGAATAGATCAAACTAAATTGCATGATCTTAATTGGAATAGTATAGCAGATAAAATGAGAAAGTCATTGTCTTTTTGGAAAAAACGCAAGATTACTCTTTATGGGAAAATAGTTATCATTAAAACACTTGCATTATCTAAACTGATGTATTAAGCAAAAAGCATTGACACACCAAATGAAACTTTTTTGAAAGAAATTACTTCAGAACTTTATTCATTTTTGTGGGATGGAAAAAGAGATAAAATTAAAAGATCTGTCTTAATTAATACTTTGTCTAAAGGTGGACTTTCAATGCCTGACTTAAAATCTAAATTCAGGGCCTTAAAATTAAATGGATATTAGACATTGAGTATGGGAATAAACATGCAAGTTGGAATATTCTAGCAAGAGAGATATTAAGTAAAACTGGACTCCCAGATACTTTGATATTTAAATCTACTTATGGAAAACCAGAGAATATTTGTAATTTTAATATCTTGCCTCAATTTTACAAAGATTTACTCCATGCTTGGAGTATTCTTGGAGGCTCAGAATCCAAAATTGATAACATAACATTTGCAGAAATTAGACAAATGGTGATATGGCACAATAAAGACATAACTTTCAATAACAAGTGTTTGTATTTTGAAAACTGGATAAATTCAAATATATTATACTAGTATGTTAATGATCTTATGTGTACCCAAGATGAAATTCTTCATAAGCTTAAATCTAGGGTCAATTGGATGGCAGAATATATAACTGTTAAGCAATCTTTGCCATTTCAATAGAGTTAAAATATTTAGTGAGGCAAGCAGATGTACATATGTTAATACAAATGTAAGTTTAAGATTTTATGACAGTAAATTGAAGCATTATAGATTTTTGGATAAACATGCAAGTTCTAGAGACATATATTCAATCCTGTTGGAACATATAGCAACTAAAACATATTTGGAATCATTTTGGATTAATCTTTGTGAAATTCAAAATAGTCAAATGCTGTTTCAACAGACTTGGATACTTTTAAAGCAATCCAAAAATAAAAAAGTGGCCAATTTTAAATACAAACTTTTACATTATATTTTACCATGCAAACAATTACTTCTAAGATGGAAAATAAGTGTTAACGACAAGTGTGATATTTGCGGACAAGTAGAAGACTATAAACATTTGTTCTTTCAATGTCATAGAGTACTTAATGTAATAGACCAACTTGAAAATTATATTTTAGATCATTTTAAAATTGAATTAAGCTTGAAAAAGTATAAAACTCTTGTCTTTGGCTATAAGGAACAAGACACTAACTATACTTATTTTAATGAATGGTTAAACAACTTATGGTACGTTATATTTGTAAACTATTGTAATAATGTTCAAGAATTGAAATTATATCATTTTTCACAAATATTGTAATATTGTAAAATGACCTGATGTACTTGTATACAAAGTTATAAAATGAGAAATATATACATGATTTAAAAAAATAAATAAAAAATACTCATGTAGTTCTCCCAATAAACAAAAGATTTGTAGTTGGCATTGGAAGTAAACACCCTATGCAGATGTTACTAAACAGAAAACAATCTTGGTATTCATCTTGATCTTATCTACAATAGTAGTGAAAAGATTTATTTGGTGACACCCTCTGCTGTGCTCCAAGGCCATTTTCGATAAAAACATGATGTCATCAAAATGTTCCCACTTAAATGCGATTTCTCTTAGAAAATTCAACAAATCTACAAGATTTTTCAATGCGAAAGTTTTCCAATAAATCGCCAAGTGAATAGGCGCACGGTGTGGTTAAATCTCTCAGGAGTTCTGTGCACGTGTGTGATTTCTTTGAAGTGATACGCCGTTCTAAGGCATGAGATCTATTTGAAAAGGCGCAACGAACGTCACCAGTGTGTAAAAGTCAATCTTTGCCATAAAACAACGGGGGTCTATACCACGCCCGTTGATCGTACAAAATGGATGGATTAGGCGATTTCTGCAAGAAAACTCAACAAATTTGGAAGATTTATTTTTTCAAGAGAAAATTTACAACTGAATTGCCAAATGATTTTATTCCAAGATCCATCCATGATCCATCTAACCATGCATACATGTACATGCACATGTTGATGTTGGATATATCACGGGCCTTGGTTATTCAGGCACAGACTTAAAACCATTGGCTAAGGTCGATATAAATAATTTTTAAATAAAGGATAGCATGGTAATCGATCTGTGTTTATCTATGTTTCTCTTGGATTCTGTTGGTGCTGCCATCTTTATATCGGCCTAGAACCTATGCTTAAAACCTTGTTAAAACTAAGAAGAGGGTTACTTCCTGCGAAAGCTATTTGGATTTTCAAAATCTAACATGGCTCTTGAAGTGAGTAAGAAGAGGGGCTATATAGGAGATCCCTCATCACACGATTTAACGGTATTCTTGCCCGTAGCCCATTTTTTACCAAGGGGGATCTTTTGCCAGGGGAGATTTTTCACGGTGACAGTTTTGGCTAGGCCTAAGTAAAAATCATGCGAAAATGCTCATAGAATTTTTAGCTCCCCCCTCCCGGCTAGGACTATTGTGTACATGTAAGGCCTCTAGTTTCTAGATATTTTTATAAGCAAATGTCTGTAAGAATAGCCTATCCTAAACGACTGTATACTAGATTCGGAGATTTTGTAGGTTCCCATGGTTTAAGTTACTATGAAATCCACTGTCAAGTTCACTTTCTAGGATAAAAGTATCTAAAAATTAACCGTAACCGTACGTTCAACTACCACGTTTCATTTCAATCTCAAAATTCATTTCGTTCGTTGCGTACCGCACTGGACGAAAGGCTCGGAGACTGGTTTCATCGAACTCCCATGCAGTGTCTTGATATATCACTGCACGGGAGTTCGTGGTTTCATTTGGTAAATTCCTTTGATCCCCGCCCCGGGCTATGATCGTAACTTCATGCAATGGTTCCGAAATTTTGTTATCGGAACGGATCATTTGACCAGAGTGAATTAGAACTTCCAGAAAAAGTGAGAGTAAAATGGAGGGAGGGGCATCATGTGCAATTGTTTACATCTGACGTCATTTGGATGTACTGCGCATGCGTGATAAACAGGAAGCAAAACAACCAAATTATGGGGTTGTTCGGTAAATCTAACCAAAAACCACCTAAAGATCAGGTAACTATCATGTAATTGATATCCCATTTGTGCTTCAGGATATATTCCTTTTAATTAGCTAGCTTATGTAGCGATATGAAGTGGTAAACACATTGAATTTATGAATTCTAAAAAATATCTCCAGAAATTTTTGATTTTCAATTTCATTTGAAAAATAAATCCCAATGGGCTCAATGCAAACATGCAAATAGCCTAGTTCAACGTCGTTAAACTCAATAACGGCGATCTTTACTATTAGGAATTTTCTTGGGTGCCGTTATTGAGTTTAACCTCTTTACTATTCTTTCCTTTGATGCAAGTTCTCGATCCATCGAAACCATTTTGCCGCGATAACATGCAATTGAAACTTGACAATAATATAAAAACACATAACATCAAGCGATTCAACACAATATTATTGTGTTAAATGTTCATATATACTCTTAAAATGAGGCTACACTTACCAATCTCTAAAATGACATTTCCGCATGTCCGTCATGTGTCTGTTCGTCCGAGTGTCCCGGATCGTAAAATTAAACTATTTACTAAGTTCTTCGCCGCCTAATGTATATCACTTAGCTTTTATTGATTCTTTCATAAGTTTCGTCAAAAACTCAGTTTGACCAGAGTAATCTGTCTCACCGCTCGAATTTTCTTGAAAAATGTCTATTTTCTAATCACCCGGATGTGCGGTTTACTTGGACTCGCCCAAAACGAGGGGTGTCAAACGCAAGATGGTAGAGATGCAGACATGTCGCCACTCTCAGAGAATCTATTTCATAATTTCAACATTACTACGCGGTTTTACAAGCGAAAAGGATAAGGGCAGGTTGTATATAGGACTGGACAAGATGAAAATAAATATTATAAATAGATGACACCCCTTTCGAAATAAGATGAACTGAACCTATCACGTCACCGATTTCTACAAGGAAGGATATTTCACTTTTTGTGATTTTGTAACAATGATGGGGAATCAACCCAAACTAGAAGTCAAATTTTCAAAAAGTTAAATTTTCAAAGTTGATAAACAATTTTCGAAACAAGATTTCTAGATGTATTTTTGCATGAAGATTTCAAATATGACATCACTTTGACTGAATTTTGAATATTTAATGACGTAAATCAAGATTATTTCTACTCGCATCTAGTCTGTTGAATGTCTACATTGTACAATTACAACTAATGGTCACATGAAATATTTATCATTGTTCCAGGTGAAGGAGTGGTGCTCTAATTTGAGGAAGGAAGGTTATAAGTTGGAAAGGCAGATCAAATGTAAGTATTTGGGTTGAAAAGAATAGGGAAACCTCATACCGAATATTTGCTGAATATTTCAGAAGCAGAAAAAGTGATTTTAAGACATGCCAAGTTTAAACAATTTGAATAAAGCACAGTATGTGCTGTATAAATGATAATATTGTTTGTTTGTATTATAATTATACTGTACTCCTGGTACATTTCATGAATTTTGAGAAAACACAATTATGCGGTTATTATTTTTGTTAAAATCTCATTATGCTCTGAATCCTGAAGCTCTGTAATAACAGTAACCTCATGTTGTAGTAAGTACACCTACCTAATGTCATCTTTGTCAATGGCACACTGCACCTTAACCTCTATACCTCTATAATTTTTGCGATTTTACCACAATCGCCAAACTAAATTGCACACGAAGAATACTGGGAGTACAGTATTTTATTTTATTATAAGTAAAATTGTATTATACTTTATGCAAAAATACTTAATTTAGTTGTTTGTGTAAGTTGAAAAATTAAGTTCAATCACACATATGCACATATGCACAGTCTTAGGTCAATATATTTGAATTGAACACAAAAAATATCATTTTTACCATTTTATCATTTTCCATTACCTAACTCTATTTGCTCCCCATTGAATAGACTACTGTATATACATGTACATGTATGTGTAGTGCTTGCAGATTTTTGATATCATACTGTACCTTACATTATTTTCTCACACTCTTTTGCAATATGCAAAAATATAAGTATAAATACATTTACATGTTTATGCTTAAGACATGTTGGAGGCCTCAACAGTCAAGAAATGGTCAAAGCTCAAATCTAAGGCCATGTTTAAACTACAGTACTGTGAACTTATCCGCTATTATTTATTTTATTTTTTTTATGTATATATAATAACTTATCCGCTATTATGCCAAAACTGTTAATAAGATTCTCATCAACAAACATTAATATATTGTTTCTTACTGATTTCCTTACATGTCCTTGAAGAAATTAAAGATTGAAACCGTGGGAAGTTAACGAAATGCCAGTGCTATTCTGATGATGGTGTTGTGCAAATGGTGCCTTCCGCATGAAGTTCATGAAATATAAAAAAATAATGTAGAAGAATATGTGCAGTGTATTCTGCCGTAACAATTAACCTATTATAGACTGGAATATTATTTGGAGAGAGATGAAAAGTAAGTGGAAAAAGCTTTAATTCAATTTTATTGACACATTTTTGTAGCCATTGAGCGAGAAGAGGAAAAGGTGAAGAGGACAATCAAAGACTCGGCCAAGAAAAACCAACCTGATGTCTGTAGAATTCTGGCCAAAGAACTTGTTCAATCAAGAAAGACAGTTTCAAAGATTCACTCAGCTAAGGCACATTTGAACTCAGTGTCCATGAGTATGAAGCAACAGCTTGGTGAATATTGCTTTTTATTTCAGTAGTGGCATTAAATACTCTTTGCAATGATGATAATGGTAGAAAGTGCTGCACTAGTTTCACGCCAAATTTACAGTTTTGAGATGACAGTCATTCTATATGACATAAATATTATAAAATGATATGTTCTATAATTCAATCTCTTCAGATTACATGATCTGATGTGATTTCATCAGTTCAAACTTAACTAGTATTTTCAAACCAACCATCTAGTGTTTTCCCCAGCTAACGTACATGTGTCACGGTGTGTTATATTATCAATTCTGGTTCATCTAGCCTAGTGTGACCTTATGTTTCCAGTCCTGGGTGTTCTACTTGTGTATCTGTAATAATTCTGTGTATGCTTCCAGCTACACTGCGTGTAACAGGGGCATTAGAGAAGAGTACCGAAGTGATGAAAAGTATGCAAAATCTAGTCAAGGTGCCAGAAGTTCAAGCCACAATGAGAGACATGTCCAAAGAGATGATGAAGGTACAGTATCCCAGCATTAGAATGTTCAAAGTTTTGCATAAATTTATATCATGTTCAACCACTGCTATAATGAATTGAGGTGTTATGCACATGCATGTATATATACTGTAGTAAGTTCAAATTACCTTGGAATGGTCACAGATGAAGTTGTAGCAACTGGATTTTATGCCTAATAGTAAAAAAAGACCATGTGAGGAATGGCAAGTGATTTTAGATGGTCATATCTTTCACCATGAGTACTTTCTGGGTATAGATACAGTGTTTTTTATTTAAACAAAATGTTTTCTTTCAAGTGAAGTCCCCATGAAAATAATGGATTATGACCCCCCTTTGGCACTTTTTTAAAAATGTTAGGCTTATTTTCAAAAAGAGGATCTTGTTTTCCTCAATTTAAAATCATAGGGGTTTATCGTTTCAAGTCAAAACTACCAACAGTTTAGGTATTTTAGTTGCTCTAGCAAGCTCTAACTTTCCTCCTCGTGGAGTTAAGGTCACAATTTTTCGTTAAAACATGTCATATTCAATTTAAGAAAGTCAGAAAACTTCAGATCAAAAAATTCCTTAGGGGGCAATTCTGCCCCCTAACCATTTAAGGGTTAAAAATAATATATAATCCCAATTTTAATGTCTTATTCTTAAAGGGTCCCATGCAAAGTTTGAAAATACAGTTGAATCATTCAAATATTACTATTTATGACTTGAAAACTTATCTGAGACATTTTTCTCATAATTTTTTCATATTTCAATTTGATTTTTCTATGACCAAATACAACACTGTAAAAACTTAATTTTCTCTACTCCATTGAATTAAAGATCCAGCAAAATGATATAATTTCAACCATTTAATCTATGATTTTCATCATATTTATGAACTTGTCATTTTTAAAATGTGTGATGTCACTCAGGTGGCAATATATTTTTTTCAAAGATTTTCAATTCATTTTTTGAGTTCAGACTATTATATAAGTTATTGAATGATTTGAAGTGCAACACAGGATCTAGGATATATTATGCTCAAGAAATTCTATATTGGCACAAGCACTTCAAATTATTCTATAATGTTTTTATCATGTGTGATCTTAGTCCAATACATTTTACTTAGAAGATAATCCCTAGGAAATATTATGTATTTCTCTGTAATGCTACAGAGAAGATCAATGGGGACAATCTCAGTAGCAATACAGATTGGTACAGCACAAGAACTGACCAATCAGAGGGCTTCATTTTACAGCTCATACGCCAAAGTGGGTTTAAACTTTATTTTGGGCCTCTAAGTAACTGGCTTCAGGCCTTTAAGTGAGGATGGAGCTTAGGTCAAACACTTCAGACTAGATATCATTGCTCTTTTCAAAGTTTTTGTGCCAAAATGATGTTGTAAACTATGAACATGGACATTTTTCTCTTAGATGGGTATCATAGAGGAAATGATGGAAGATACATTTGAGTCTCTAGATGATGATGAGCTTGAAGATGAAGCAACAGAGGAGGTTGAGAAAGTATTGTTCGACCTCACTGCAGGTAATTACTCCCATAATGCAATAATTAATTAAGTTAAGCCGAAATAAAGGCCTTACTTGGAGCTTTCAACAACAGGCAAAATTTAATTCAATTAAACAATTCATTGTGTTTCTATACAGTGCCTCAAATATTTCAAACTGTATGATATAATATATTGTACATGCTTTTTGACAAGATTTAAAACTTATATATTCAAATTACTTATTCTAATATATTCATTTTGTATAGCTCATGCAGGATCAATATGTAATTTCTCACTTCCAGGGGAGTTGGGTAAAGCTCCGTCAGCTGTTGAGGATTCACTTCCTGTTCACGAGCCAGAGGGAGCCACAGCAGCCCCAGAAGAAGAAGACGTTACAGAAATGCAAGCAAGACTTGAAGCTCTAAGAAGTTAATCCAAATATGGCAGAGTTATCCATATAAGGCAGTGTTATCACGACTTGCACATTCAAGATCTGATAGTGGCCGCTGTTTCATTTCAAGCATTTTAAAGTGGTGCGAATACTTTTTATATTGTATTGCAATCTCGTTCATAACTGATCTTTGCAGTACAAAAGACAGATAAAAGAACCATAAATGAATTTTAATTGCTTGTGGTTGATACATGAACTCATCTTTAAAAAGATATTTGAAGAATAGAGAAATCAGAACACTTTTTAATTGATATATTTTGAGTCTTAATTGGGATCAAAGTTCATGTAGACATTTGGGTTTCTCTTCTATTTCTGTCCAATTTCTACTTTGGATAAAAATTACTATTTTTAATATACACTCTATACTTCAAATTGGTAGCAGAAGTTCTTCAGAATGATATTCATTAAAAGAAGGAGAAAGAATTGAAAAAGTGGACATCACCTTTATCAATTCAAATTAATATGAACATTTCTGCATCATCAATCATTCTTCAATAATTTCTATTTGATCAAATCTCCATACCTTTATTTGTAAGAAAAGGGATACATGGGTGTTTATATATGCTAATGTAAACCACTGAGTTTTTTGCCATTTTTACAGTCCTGACAAGCCATTGTATTTGGTGAAATAGAAAAACAATAAGTGCAATCCTGAATTGAATATTTTATAATTTAATGTTTTATGTTGCGCAAAGCTGGTTTTTACTCCATGTACATAGTGTAGAAATAATTGAAATTTGTAAAAAGTTTTGTAAGATAATATTTATGAAATATTTCAAAGTAGTGAACTGTTAACAGTATATATAAATAAACAAATTATTGTGACTAAGAAGACTAGAATCTAAATTACTGATACATGTAGGTCTAAATTACTGATACCTTATTGTAACAGAAGCAGACCTTAAACCCTGGGGGTTCACTGTATATAAAACTCGAAGGGGGTCCTAGGCTGAAGCCTCAAATATCAATATTTTCCCATACCAATCTGTCAAATTTCAATATGTTCCCATACCAACCAAAGTAACGCCCAAAGGCCATACCAAATGTCCAAATATAGGAACAATGCCATACCAAATGTCCAAATATAGGAACAATGCCATACCAAATGTCCAAATATGGGACCAATGCCATACCTTAATTCAAAATCTCGCGAGACTTCATCAAAGCCTTTGATTGGTCCTCATTTCCGGGGAAAAGGGCTGAAATTCAAAAGTTGAAGAAGGCCCTGGAAAGGAAGATACTTCGGGAAACGATCCAAAACAACTTCAAATTTGCAACTACTGGACCAATGCCATACCACGAATGTTAGGTAACGTATCTACAACGGCCATTCTCATACCAGAAGAGCAAAAGTCCGACCATTGCCATACCTCAGAAGTCAGAAATTTCCGGGCATTCCCATACCAAATCCTAAAATATGGTTCCATTGCCATACCAAACGTTGAAAAAGGTACCCCACATGCGCCGAGGATCCCCGTCAAGGTTTATATATAGTGAACCCCCCGGGCCTTAAACATCAAAATGTTAAAAAAAAATTTCTTAGGTCTGATAATGATTTTACTGTTTAAGTTGTAATTTTTCTGAAAGAAAATCTACCAGATTTATCCAAAATTCAAATTGTATTTGACTGGGTAATTGATAAGAATACAAATCATTAAAATAAAGCTTATTTTCAATGCAGCAACACTAATTTAGCTGGTGCATGTATGTCATTTTATCAAATATATACATGGGTATATGTACATGTACAGGGTGTCTTGAAAGTATGGCCCCCCCCCCCCCCCCTAGGCAGACATATACCAGTGTCGTCATAGTAAGGGTCATATATCATTTTAAAGCTTATCCAAAGTTACATTGATTCACCAAGTACCATGGTTCAACTCTCAAATGTGAAAAAATTACAGGCATTTCAAAATTTAGTGTTTGGTCAAAATTAAGTTCAATTTTACGCCAAATCACTAGTCAATGTGTCCTCCCTGGCCATCTTAACAGCAGCAATTCTTTTCAGGTCGGATAGATATTGAGTTGGAAAAAGAGAATGGTGAGGGTAGAAACTCTAAGGAAACTCTTCTAAAGTCCCTTAACAGGTTTTAAGAGGGTTATAAAATTCCACACTCCTATTTGAAGGGCTTTTAAGGTCATATCTGAAAATAATTGCCAGGCTGCATGGCCAGGCTGCCAGGGGGGGGACACATTGACTAGTAATGTGGTGTAAAATTGAACTTTATTTTGACAAAACACTAACTTTTAAAATGACTGTAACTTTTTCCCATTTGGGAGTTAAACCATGATACTTGGCAAATCAATGTAACTTTGGACAAGCTTTAAAATGATATATGACGCATACTATGAGGACACTGGAATATGTCTGCCTAGGGGGGCCCCCATACTTTCGGGACACCCTGTATATATAAATTTTCACTTAAATATATTTTTTCTTACACAATACAGTGTACATGGCTAATAATAATGATTTTATCTGAATAAGAATGCAGATAGAGCATTGAGAATTATTTATGGGCCCATATATTAATAAAATCATCCAACATTTTATGAGAACATGCATGTTTAAAAAATACAGGTAAAAAGTTTCCTGATTATGTGTAAATAATATAGTACTATATACATTAGAATGATCAAATAGTTTTCTAGTGGTTACTTTGAATATTCATATATCGGGTGTCCCAAAAGAGTTAAACACTCTTTGACAAGTATTTTCTCAGGAGATTAACCAAAATTGAAAAATGTCCACTAAGTAAATGGTATCAACAACAACTCTGCAAAATATATGAGGGATCAGTCGCAAATTATGTGAGAATTGTCAAATTCAACATTCAATAGCAATAGACTGATAGACAAGTTATCTTCATATCTAAATGAAGAAGTTTTTCTGATAGAAATTCTTTTGCTTATTTCATGCAAAATTATCCTGCCCTTTAAATGCCTGTTCTGTCAGTTTGTCCTTCACTTCCTTTAAATCTTCTCTTCCAGATAGACCCATATAAGACATGTTGATGATACCCTTAGGCAACTCAGTAAAAACTTTCAATGAATTCAGTTATTCCATTGTTGAGAACAGTTATTCCATTGCCGACAAAGTACTTGTCAAGAACTGTTTTACTTTTTATATTACCATGTAATGCCAGTTACAGGTAGTCCGCTTTTCAATCACCAGAACAAAGCATTTTATATGAAGTATTTATTCACCAGGAGGGATTAGATCAAGGGAAAAATCAATACCCAGTGATTTCAACGGGAAGTGGCGTTTTGTTCAGTGGATGAGCTGCGCGCGCACGCGTAAAGGATGATTCTCGGTTTGGAGAACGAAGTTCATCACTCTAATTGAGCGTTATCCCTGCTTCGGACAAATTTGATTTTTTTTACATAATATAGATTTGAATGTCTTCTTTTGAATAGTCTTAAATTAATTTGGGTAATATTTCTAGATTTTCCATCAAAAAATTACTAGTGAACCACCCAACGTCGCTTTTATGATTCGTACCACTTTTTTAACTTGATGTATTGCATATTTCCGTGGGTCAATTTGAGAAAAAAGACAAACAAAGCGTACAGGGATATGTCATGAGCATATCATGAAAAAATCCTTTCAATATGTTTTTAAGAAACATTCGAAAATAATTCATTCTTAAATCGTGTCCCATTTTCGAGATATTCTCTGACATTTTATACACATTCATCCAATAGAGGGCCTCTCAAAAGAGCGACTTCAGATTTTTGGCATTTTACAAGTCATATATAAAATTGATTAATCATCTATTAATTAGATGTCACCACTTGCTATGAACTATGCTAGTGGTGAATATAAGCTAGTCAATTGCTGTGAGCTGGAGAGGGTGTATTTATATCACTTCTATCCTACCACGTGATTACGTGGTCGATGGGGATTTTCTGCTAATAATACACTGAAAACTGCCTGATGAATCTATACAATATATAGTAGAACACTTGGAATAAACATGTATGTAAAATCTAGTATAAGCTTACATTCAGAAATATGGAAATAAACAAACGTCCTTCCTTTACAGCTTCACTGTAGCCTGTACTCCTTTAAAGGGATACATCAATGAGTTAAAAATAAAAAATCGGTGTGGAGAATGGACGGGGAATCGAAACACAATTCAGTGCGTAGGAGGTGAGGAACTTGCCACAAGATTACGCCTCTTTCTACCTCTCTCTTCCTGATTTAAACCTTAAAATTCGCCCAAGCATCGATCAACGTGGTTATTATAGCTATAAATTACGGAAAGCGAAAGGGGATATACCGCAGAATTTAAAATTCAATGGAGTTTTAACATGGGAGTGATATCACACACCGCGGCCCAGTCAGATATATTTCTGCGCACTTTATTTATTTAATTCACTTTGCACAACGCGCCCCTGTAATTCATTCAGTGCGCAATTAAAAATTGTTTATGAGTGATATCGCACACCGTGGCCCAGTAAGATCGATTTCTGCGCACTTTATTTATTAACATACTCAAAATATCGCGCTGAAGCTTGTATATGCTGGCGCGATGTAATTATAGTTTTCTGTTAATAAATGCCCAACAAGAAAGGGTAGCACAACGAATTCAACTTTTTTCGAAAGACTGCAGACTTGACCTGCGAAATTGTAATTTTGGATCACAGTGATGCCTCTAGAGAGATATCTATGAGAATTACAGATTATAGTGCGCAGAATTATAAAGTCAAACTGACCTCAAAATGGTAGTACACAGTGTACACTGCCATCTTTCAATAAAGTAACTACAGACCTTCGTATACAAAATACCAGAATGATTGATGTAATACCTGTATACCATTTCTTCTGGGAGAAGGAAAGTTCCTATATGTATTCCATGGCCGTAGCCAGGGGGCCTCACCCCCCTCCCCCTTGCCAAATATTCGTTCAAAATCATGCAGTTTTTCACCATTCTTAGCACTTTTCGCATGATTTTTTTGCCATTACTGTCAAAAAGCTCCCCCCTCTTGGCAAAATCTCCCCCTTGGTAAAATCACTCCCCCAGGTGAATCCAGGATACGGGTCTGTATTCTTAGACGAGATTGTTCAAGAACATAAGGTAGACATAAGTGCCACCTGTTAAAAGCTAGGAGATCTTTTCTAAGTTATTAAGTCATCAATCAGCAGACTGGTAATTGTATCCCCCACCCACTTCAAACTCCATACACTAACATACTATTACAATTTTATCTGTGTTTATTTGACTGTAGAAGGTGTACATTCATAGCATTGAATTGCATTTCATTGCATTGTATTGTATTGTATAGCACATCATTGTATTGTATTGTACTGCATTTTATTGTATTGCACTGCATTGTATTGTATTGCACTGCATTGTATTCTATTGCATTATATTGTACTGTATTGCACTGTATTATATTATATTGTACTGCATTGTACTTTATTGCACTGCATTGTATTGTACTGCAGTGTACTACATTGTATTGCGCTGCATTGTATTGTATTGCACTGCATTATAATGTATTGCACTGTACCACATTGTGTCGCACTGCATTGTATTACACTGCATTGTTTTGAATTGCACTGCACCATATTGTATTGCATTGCATTGCAGTGCACTGCATTGTATTATATTGCACTGCATTGTATTGCACAGTATTGTATTACATTGTCTTGAATTACACTGCATTTTATTACACTGCATTGTATTTTATTGCACTGCATTGTATTGTACTGCAGTGTACTGTATTCTATTGCACAGCATTGTTTTGTATTGCACTGTATTGTATTGCATTGTATTGAATTGCACTGTATTGTATTTTATTGCACTGCTTTGCACTACATTGTATTGCACTGTATTTAACTGCGATGTATTGTATTGCACTGCACTGAACTGCGATGTATTGTATTGCACTGTATTGCACTGCACTGTATTGAACTGCGATGTATTGTATTGCACTGCATTGTATTGCACTGTACCACATTGTATTGTATTGAAATGAACTACATTGTAACTGTATTGTATTTTATTGCACTGCATTGCACTACATTGTATTGCACTGTATTGAACTGTGATGTATTGTATTGCACTGCATTGTATTGAAATGAATTACATTGTAACTGTATTGTATTTTATTGCACTGTATTGAACTGCGATGTATTGTATTGCACTGCATTGTATTGCACTGTACCACATTGTGTTGCACTGTATTGTATTACACTGCATTGCTTTGTATTGCACAGTATTGTATTGCATTGTCTTGATTTACACTGCATTTTATTACACTGCATTGTATTTTATTGCAGTGTAATGTATTGTATTGCACAGCATTGTATTGTATTGCACTGTGTTGTATTGCATTGTATTGAATTGCACTGTATTGTATTTTATTGCACTGCATTGCACTACATTGTATTGCACTGTATTGAACTGTGATGTATTGTATTGCACTGCATTGTATTGCACTGTACCACACTGTATTGTATTACACTGCATTGCTTTGTATTGCACAGTATTGTATTGCATTGTCTTGATTTACACTGCATTTTATTACACTGCATTGTATTTTATTGCAGTGTAATGTATTGTATTGCACAGCATTGTATTGTATTGCACTGTGTTGTATTGCATTGTATTGAATTGCACTGTATTGTATTTTATTGCACTGCATTGCACTACATTGTATTGCACTG